TCCACCTTAGGGATTAATTCATCAGATAAGAAGTGTGTCATAGTGACATAAAAATAAACAGAAAAATCGAAAGGACTTATTAGCCAACCTAATAGCTTTATATTTACCAATATTACATAAGCTTATTTTAACCAGTAATGATTCTGAATTGTAGCATGATTTATGCTCACACCCCCTAGCTAGTGAAAGTCTATCTGACTTTCGATTACATAATTTCCTGACTTTGAAATTATTGTTTTTTGGAGGAAGGGAGAGGGAAATTCCCTCAACTTTTGTGATTCTCTATAAATTTCCGTGACTTTTCCAGGTATTTCAGGTCCAGCAGAAAATTCAATTCTAAAAAAATTGTTAACGGATTCATTTAAGTTTTTAAATGATGAAAAATTCAAAGACATACAAATTACAAATTTTCTTATGTTATGGTATTTTTATTTCTTAGCTTTCACATGTCATTCATTGGGTATTTGTATTATTTTCGTTTGTTAAATATCAAATATTTCTATTTTTAATTTGTGATCCATACTTATTTCATTATGTTTTATGTATTTTTTAGGTCCCAGATGTCTGTTATTTCGCTTTTTTGTATTTAAAATCTGTTTTATTTGTATTTTTTAAATAATAAATACTTTTAAACATTTTATTTTATATGAATATTGCATAAATTCAATTCATTGATGAATATAAAATGAGTTCAATCATTGCTAACAACAAATACCACCAAAACATTTGATGGTACACCACATATCACCTAATGTTTTGTGTAATTTTCTTCTCTAGGTGCTGAGAGAGTAAAGATGAAGTTGATAAGATTCAAACTTAGCCAAATAGATTCAATAAAGAGATCCAAAAATAAAACTACTGGGTCATGGGTGATAGATAGTGCCAACATTTCAACATTTCATTTTATTGTAACCTACAACTATTTTATTTACCAAAATTCTCAAAAATGTGGAGTTGTTAAATTGTCAATTTAATAAGGTACTAAAAACTCATTAACACCCATTCACTTTTCACAGGAATGGTAAGATAATTTGATCAAAAAACCAAGAAAAAAAAGTGGCTACCCAACACATTGTCCCAGTTTGTGTGACCTGCATCAAGGTTTAACATGTCAAAGTAACAAGGTTATATAAGCCAAACTAAGAGGATGAATAGGAGTACCTAACTTGATAAATACAGCTGAATAAAAGAAGAGTCAGGTCCCCTCCTCAAATTTAACACAGATAAAGTGTCTCATGATTCAAATGAAGATGAGTTACTGGTTTCAGTTTTGAAAATAAAGCCGAAAGAAGTATCCTTCCATACCAATGAGAGTCAGGCATACCCAGTCTACATCTAAATATTGTCCTTATTAATCTATTTTTTTACTCATAATCAATGAAATTTAAATTTGTCCATGTTGCACCCGAAATTATGTTCACATTCAGGCAATTTAAAAAAAATTTAGTACTAGAGTGTTTTTCCACTTCTCAGCAATCCTAATAGTTGTTTTAACAAGTTTTAAATATTTAAATATTTTAATATACATAAGTATAAATGCGTCATTTTGAAAACAAAATCTAAAGTACATGTCTAAAGAGTGAGAATTGATCAAGTTTTTATTTTATTTTTAATTTTTATTCCAACAATAGAAAAAAGTAATTCAATAAAAAAATAAATAAATAAATAAATAAATATTAAATGGACTTAAGATCAAAACAAGTGGAAAATAATTGTACTTACAAATGTCATATCATAGGAATGTCAAATCACATTTTTACTTTCAGAGTATTCATAAATACTAATGTTAGTGTTGAAACAGTTAACTATTTTTCTTTTTAGCAGGTTTATATGAAGTAAAGAACTGCAGTAACTAAATATACAACAATGCACTACAAAAAGTAAAGGTTTTAAATCTAAGCATATTGCACAGCCCTTATAATTATTTTTTCTCATTGAGTATTGGCTATGTTATGCCAGATTATTACATTTTAATTGTATATACTGTGGGTAAATAACTGTACTGTTTAGATGTCACATTTGATTTAATTTGTTTAAATTTCTTGAGATCATTTATTTCTTTATACAGGAAATTTATTGATTGTTTCATTATAAAATGTTGATTGTATGCGATTTACTATAAATGAATGAATAATTAAACTTCACTCGATGTATGATGATGAAGTTTGATTAAAATTGAGTTATCTTAATTGGAAAAAATGTGTGAGCAGCACTTCATCACTGAGGTTTTATTTTCATCTTATTTTTAATTTTAAAAAGATAAAAAGGGACTACATAGACATTGGTGTTAAATAAAGAAATAAAAGCTTTGCAAGTTATTACCCAATGTTTTATTATATTCAAATAGTTTTATGTTCAATATGTATAGCATATCTCCATGAAAGAATTTATCTACCACACAGGTAAAAAACATTTGTCCACTAAAAATAGGTCGTTTAAACAATATTTATTTAATATCTTTTTTTAATAAGCTATGTCATCATAAATCATAAAATTTGTCAAACCAGAATCAGAACTCTAAGGCTATATTTATAGATTTGAGATATCAAAAAGACAATAATAAAGATTGAATTTCCAAACGAATAAAGAAACACAAAATAAATTGTCATATCTCTGCTACAAATGGTCCAATTTCAATGATTTCTGGTTTATTATTTTCAATAATCAATCATTGTAATCAACCAAGAAAAAATATTTAACCTCAGCTTAAAATTTAAGTTTTACATGTTAAGGATACGCAGCATCAAAAATTGAATTAAAAAAATCTGTATGTCCGACATGAAACATACACTGAAAGCAGTCCACAGGTTTTCTCCAAGACTATTGAATCTGATTGCATTGAGATTTTGTATCAATGTTGAAGAAAATGTATACTTTTTTAATTGAGAAACGAGTATTTCCGCCGTCATCTTGAAACAAAATGGCTGGTGATGAGACCCCCCCAAATGCACCTCTCTTAATATTGATAACACCAACTTAATATTGATACAAAATTTCAACCTCCCAACTTTATTAGGAGAAGCTGTGGAGATGTGAAATACTTTAAAAACAGACGAAAAACCTGAAAAAAACTCTTACATGCGAAAATTTCTCAAAAGTTTAATAGTAATGTTCTGCCTAGGAACAAATTCTACATACTGAATTTCAGCTATTTTGGTCCAACAGGAACCAATGAGGAAGCTGAAATGTAGTGGGGAGGGGGAATATATATATACATTTTCCGATTGGCACTACAGACCATGCAGATCTTTAGCCGCGAGATGTGGTCTCCTTACAGATGTGTGATACTTGCGGGAGCTCAGATAGCCTGGAGGGGGTCACCCAACCTCACGTTGCTACGAACCATGGTTTCCATGGTGCAGCAGCAGGCCACCCGTAGCTCCATAGCCGATCCCTTTGGGGCCAATCTGGCAATGTCCTTCCCACCGACTTTCTCGGGTTCAAGGACAGTGACAAATCGGTCTAGATCCATGGATTATGGCTGCTCGGAGTCAGCAGGCGCACGAGGACCTATATTTCTTTCCCAGAAACAGACCGTCCATGGACCAAACCTCAGGGGGGCTATTAACATCCTGGTAAACCACATCCCAATTCCCGATTTAAGTACACGGGTAGGGTAATCAGTCCTACGCCCGGTCGGTGTGAGTTGCCTCAAGTAGGCTGGCGGGCCTCACATACCCGGGGGGGGGGGGGGGGGAGAGACTCAGACAGCATGGCTTTCTCTGGTGGACAGTCACCCAAATCGGGCAGTTACCCATCCAAATATTAACCACGCGTTGCTTAAATTTGATTACCTATTGCAAGCGCCTTAGCCCGTACGGCTACCCCAGCCCCCATTATATATATATATATATATATATATATATAAAACTGACATCTCTAAAAATTATGTTTTAGGGATTTCAAAATAGATAGAAAACACAATTCCACCTTCCACTAACGACTTTTGATATATTGCAAATAGTCAATTATTTCCAAAGGAAAATAGACAAAAATGTTCTATGGGAAGTGAAGGTATAAAAAATTATTTTAAGGCTTTTAATAAAGTAAAATAATTATTCTTTATATTAAAGCAAAGAGAGAACTAGGTTTTAAAAAAAAAGGCAGGAGAGATGATATTGAAGTGGTGTTTCCCCCAGGTTTAAGCAAAACATCATTATTCATTTTGCATTGTTTTGCGTAACTTTTAAAAGATTTTTTGGGAGTAGTGAACAACACAAAAATGGGTCTATCAGGCGACCAGTTTTAATCAAAATTGTTTTTTCCATCTGGATATCAAGGTTAACTATTATGTACTTTCTTACTATGTATTAGATTTAGAGGCTGTTCATTAAATAGTTCTCTGTGTACAACTTACAATATTACACATTAGTAGATCTGGATATTGACAGTAAAAAGGAGTGAGAAAACAGCATTTCACGTATATTATTTTTCAGTCAAATAATTAAATTTATCCTAAACAATGAATGATAATTATGCTTCCAAAAGGATATATCATGAAAAAAAATTATATATTAAAATAAATCATAGACAAATTTGTTTACCGCAAATTCCAATCTCATTTTTCAATTAAATTAGTTTCCTATCTATGATCTTCTTCTAAAAGTAATCCATTTTTTATTTTAAATAAATTTATGTGATATATTTTTCTAATAGGTAACATTTTTATTGCTTGAATTATTTAGATGCTATAATTCTTTGCACATATAAAAAAAAAATAATTAAATGATTTACAATGGAGAAGAAATTAACTAAAGTATCACCAGCTTAATGGCTGTTCAAGGTATATTAAAATGGAAAACTCTAAATATAATAAAATAGAACTTTATTATATATAGGTAATATATATCAAAATAAATTTAGAAACGCAATAGTCATTTAACCTGGAAAATCAACTAAGTTTGACGAAAGTGAATAATATAAATGATAAAATTAGAGCATCTAAAGGAATCGTAACAACTGAGTCAAAGTTAAATATATTTAAACAATAGGTAACTGACCTTAGCCAATACTTCTTGGTAATGTATGTATGACAACAAACTGCATCATACTGGTCAGCAATCCACACAATAAGGATGATATAAAAAGCAGTAGTAGTGTCATTGAAAAATTCTGACATTATAGCTTCCATTCCTAAAATAAAAGAAAACTCATTTGTTAATTAAAGAGCAGTAGGTTTTTTATTTCATTTTGCTGAAATATTATTTTATAAAACAGAAAAAATAATTGAATTAATTTGATGTTAAATAGAAAACAATATATTTCTCATCCATATAATGTGATTATTTGACGCTTAATCACAAGATAACTGAATATGATTTCGGCTGCAGGTATTATTGTAAAATTATATTTATTGCTTAGGCATTTTAATTATCATTTAAAGATAAGTCTGCAGTTTATTAAGTTATAAATGTTTTTAGTATGTCGGAGGAAAAAAAACACACGAAATATTATATATTAAAGAAATATATGATTACCTATAAGAGCTAAAATGACAGTCAGAAGAGGAGGAGTGGCAGGAAAAATAATAGTCACATTAAACTCTAACATTTGAAGTATATCAACTGAAAAATACAAGAAAAATCAAAATTAATTAAATAATTATAAAGGAAATGGAAAATAGTTCATCATGATGATTCATTTTAAATATCAATTATGCATTATAAAACAGAATTATAAAAATATTATCGAGTTAAAATTTGGTTTGAACACTTACTTAAAACAAAAGATAGCATTTTAAAATGGAAGGGAATCATATCTCTAAATAAATACAAATACTAACAGTTCCTACGAAATGGAAAATAATTATATTCTGGGACAAAGTCTCTTAAGAATAATTGCTAGGCTTTGATTTTAAGTATACTGCCTGGCTTAATGTTCACTAGAAAAATATCTATTAGTAACTTTATAGAAATTAATATTGCTTATATAAGTGCTGTAGTTATATTATGAAGTAGGTGACAAATAAATTTTGTTTAAAGGAATACGAAAAGGGGCAAATAATGTAAATATGATAAATAAAGATAATTAAATATTCCAGAAGGAGGTAGCAGGAATGAATAAAGATTTGCTGAAAAAGTTTTATAAGGACCTGGTAGAGAAAAAAACCTAAGAAGTATTGCGGCCAGAAAGCAAGAGAAAACAATTCAGCTCAGCATCTCACCAGAAAACATGAGAATACCTGGGTACCCAAAGATAATTCTTATAAATAGCTTCATAAGTGTCTTCATTCTCATTTTAGATAGCCTTATGTACACAAAGCAACCATAGTCTAAGAGGGAGAAAACAAGAGAGGATACTAGGAGAGGATCCTCTTTCTGAGTATCAGAGTGCCGAACCATCTTAAATCTTATAAAGCAACGAGGACCGATGATATTCCTAGTGAAATAATTAAGGCATACAGGGAAGCTGGAGTTTATAAAATACATTTTTTGGTTAAAAAGATATGGGAGAATGAGAAATTTTGTGAAGAATGGAAAGAATACATTCTTATTCCGATTCACAAAAAGGGTTCAAGGACGGATTGTAATAACAATCGAGGAATTTCACTCCTTCCGGTATGCTATAAAATATTCACATCAATTTTAACTAATCGAATCACTGAATATGCCGAGGAAATTATCGGAGACTACCAATGTGGGTTTAGGCAGAACCGTTCGACTATTGGTCAAATATTTTCTTTATGATAAATATTAGAGAAAAAATTAGAGTACAACGTTGTTGTTCATCAGGTTTATATCAATTTCAAAAAGGCTTATGATTCCATTGACCGTCAGAAGCTGGATAATATTCTAATCGAGCAGGGGATTCCAAAAAAATTAGTGAAGCTATTTAGGATGTGCTTGATGGAAACACTTATTAAAGTTAGAATTGGTCATTATTTACCTGAGAAATTTGAGGTTCGTTTGGGCTTAAAACAAGGTGATTCTATTTCACCTATCTCATTTAATTTGGCATTAGAACATTCCATTAGAGAGCTGATACATTCCAAAAAAGGTTTGAACCTGGGTGGAACAGTATCCGTGCTTGGGTATGCTGATAATTTGGTGCTGTTAAGCGAAGACACGGAAACAATAAAACTAAATACAACATTGATGAAAGACGGTAAAGAACTAGGACTGGAGATAAATACAGATAAGACAAAATTTATGGTTAGCTGCAAAAATGGCGACAATTTATATTGATATAGAAGGGAATGTGTTTGAACACATACAGAATTTTAGGTATATAGGTTCTACGATAACTAGAAAAACAAAATTGAAGAGGATATTAAGGTTAGGTTAAAGGCGGGAAACACTTGTTATTTTTTTTGGTCGAAACTACTTAGTTCTCGGCTCATGTCCCGAACCTTAAAAATTAAATTTACAAAATCATTATCCTTCCTATCATTCTTTATGGATGCGAAACGCTGAATACACAATGCTGAATTGCGTGAACTGTATCCGGTTAATATGATTGAGATGATTAACCGATGATTGAAATGATTTAAAAATTATGCAGCTAACTTAGCACTACATCATTTTCTTCTGCTCATTAGATGCATTTGTTGAAACACGGCATAACTTCTAAATATTAAATCATTACAGTACATATGTATTTTCTTAAAAGTGATTTTTTAATTTAAGCATCTATTTCTAATTTTTCACAAATATTATATTGTAGATATCTTGTCAATTTTTTTTTTTAGTTTCAAATATAATGTAGCATTATTCTTGTATTTTCGGACATATTCTGGGATTATTCTTGGACTTTTGGACATATTCTTGCATTTTCAGATATATTTGTGGATGAATCTACCATTTTTCTTGCATTTTCCAATATATTCTTGGATAATCTGAGATTATTCTTGGACTTTCGAACATATTCTTATATATTCTAGACACTGAAGTAGATGAACAGATAAATTATATGCAACCATGGTAAAGCCAAAAAATATTAGTTTGTCTCAGGTGCTAAACTAAGTTTTGTGTATATTTATTTTAAGAACAGATAAATTGCTTTACTTTTTTTCTTCTTGTTAATTTTCATGTATGTATGTAAATATTCGTATAAGTATTAATTAAAGGAACATTCTTCTAATCCCTTCTCCATACTCAAATGTCTAAGTCAGGGAATGACAGGATAAAGTCGGCCATACTCTTCAGGATCTAAGATAATAATTACAGTATCTAAATTTCTACAATTTGATGACTTCTGAACTGTTGGACACTTATATATAGTAGTACCACTACCTTAAAATTAGCATCATTTCAAAAATAGTGCCTTTTTAACAAGACCTTTTTATTTCATATATATTATGATTTTTTGGTTTTAATGCTGTCTTCAAATATTCTGAAATAACAAACATTCATAACAATTTTTTTTTTAAATTATATAGTATCCTACACAATGGTAGTACTTATTATGATCATATTATAAATTTAGAGTTATATCACTTTAGAAACTAGAGCTTATACTTCAACTAAAGAGTCTAAGCTACAGGCCCTTTGTATCAGTCTGAAGTCACTTTTTTATTTGCTCAGCCCTCTGAGCTAAACTCGCCTGATGTTGTTTGCCTGATGAATGCTACAAGGTCATGCTCACCATACAAATGTCTCAATTTGATATTCCTTTGAATTCTCCGAACACCATCTCACAAATGAGGCGAAGATTAAACATAAAATCTTATACTTAGCGATTCAGTATTCATTCACTTACAGTTATTAGTGACCATGTCTCTAGTCATACATGACTACAGCTAATATAGTATTCTTGTGAAATTTTGAGAAGTTAGCTCATTACGAAAGCTCCTAAAGTTCATGGTCTTTTGAAATGCCCAGAAGCATCTGTTTCCAGCAGTTAAGCATACTTTTATTTTAGCTGTCACATCATTGTCTTCTGTTATCATGACACCCAAATACTTAAATTCGTAATAGAATGGAAAATAATTGTCCATATTCCTGAAGGTTGCTCGAGATAGTGGTGGTTTTCTTGTAGATTTCATGTACATGGTCTCTTGTATGTTTCATGTTCAAATTCCCTGTAATGGCAGGAGGTGTTCGGGCCATGATACAAACAATGTTAGTGAAGGTGAGATTCTGAGCAAGCCTATTGTAGATTGCTCTACAATCTAGTTTTCTCCTATATTTATCACTAGACTTTTAAATGAGAAATTGAATCACCTTGTCGAACACAGGTGTTAACAGGAAAACTCCACTAGGAATCATCGCACCTTAACAATGCAAGTGGTGCTCTTCATCCAAATCTTGACTATGCGTACCAGCAACCGACATGCTAAACCTTACTAGATTATCATATGACTAAACTAATTTTTTTTATCAATTATGGCAGTTGAAAATTATTTCAATGTTAATTAATAATGATATAGTTCCTTCTATTCTATAGCTGCCATTCTTAAACCATTCAGTGCTGAGAAAACAATGTTGTGATCGGGTTGGTAAAGTCTATGCAGTGGCCAGAGTCACAACAGCTTTTATCAATACTTTGTCAATAAAATCTTCTACCATCACCACCACCTTCATTCTTTTCTCTTAAAACTATTGAAAAAAGAAAAACGCATATCAATAACAAAGTCCAGATAAGTTCTTGCTTATGAACTCGCAGCACAGCACTGTCTACCCTCACCACGTCTGATGCGTCGTATCCATTCTTTTATTTAGCCTTCAGGTGAGGGAAGAAACAGCGAAAAAAATGAAAAAATGCTACAGAGAACTGAAAAATACCCTAGGAAGTAAGGAGGAAAATAAGGAAACAAGGAAAGTCACTAGTTTCTGTGAGGACTGTGATGATATGCCCGGATTCTGTATGCCGCACTTCAACCAGTATCACAAGCAGTTAGCAACTTAATACTTCACTTTCATTTTTCATTTTCTTAAAATATATTCCAATGTAATATTGAATACCCAAATACCTATATTTTTCTTTCATTCCCACAATAAGGTACTTATTATTTAACTTTGATCTTTTATATTCTATTTTTATCTTGACATTGAAAATGTATTACACAAATAATGTATAAATTATATCATAAAAATTATAAGTATATGTAATAATTAAACTTTTTCTGATTTAATTTTCAATATTTAGGATTTATATCCCTAAAAATAATACTTTTTTACTGAAATAAAGAGAAATAATAAAACACTAGTCATATAAACGGCATCGGATGTTGGAGTTCACTTCTACGATCGCAGGCCATTAATGAGGACACAATCAACAGATAGAGACACTGAATAGGGAATTTAGTTCACCTTTGTTGTCAAAACATAGCGGTATACCTCGAAATTTATGTATGTCTCCAAGGTTCGACACCATTAGGAACTTCATAACTAGTGTCAGTCGCCGGTGACCGATATTGTTGGGAAAGACATTTAAGAGATATCATGCTCAGCAGCTAATGTGATAATAAAAATAAATAAAATACATACCTATCAAGACAAATATTTGATGGTGTGAGTACCTCAGAAGAAGAGATATGGAAACAGTCTGAAAAAAAAAAGAATTATTTATAGAAAATAAAAAATAATATATAAGGTTTCAATTTAAAATTAATTAATAGAAAAATTATGAAGATTTTTTTATTCCAAAAGCTATTATAGGTTAAAGACATAATATATGACTTTAATTAAAATTTATAAGTTGAGTTCCATAATTTCTTAAATGTAATTATAATTAGTACAAAAACTTAACTATCTTGAGTTATAAAAAGTAAAGGAAATAATTAACTGTAGTTCTAATTTAAGGAAAAATCAGTCAGAAGATGGGGCACGGTTACCAGTCAGACCCCTGATTAACTGCTCCTTAAATAAAGGAATAGTTTGATTAATATGATGCCAGAAAACAATGATAAAATTTATTTTCTACAAGGATTATTTAACTTTTGAATTATTTTTATTTACTGAAGTTCAACTTTAATAACTTCATCTTACCATCTTCAAAAGTGTGATTTTCTGTCATAAAAAATATCTTTTAAAATGTTATATTTCAGTGATTCTTTTAAGAGTTTGGATGACATTTCAAGCATTGAAACATTTAAAAGCAGTAAAATTTTCAAATAATAACTTATCTGTCAAATATTGTATTCTTCAAACACATTTTTCTTTTTTTTTTTTTTTTTTTTATAAAATAAAGTTCAATTAGATTTTGTTTGATTGTTCCCCCACCCTCAAAAAAAAAAAAAAAAAAAATACTACAGACTGTCTCTGTCAAATAAAGAAATATATTGATTACAAATTATATCACTAAATATAGGAAAATGCTGAACTGAAATATACTTACAAAAATAATCATAATAAAAAAGGCTGAAATATATGATGTTCTAGCCATCCACATACTGACAAATCTATAATGTTCTCCAGTAACAACATTCCTGTAAAAATAAAATAATGAATAAACACAAATTTTACAACACAAAACTCCATTTAATATGGCAGTGACATTATACCTTAGTAGCTAATTTAAGTATATTTGTTTGTATTAGGTTTGCACACTATTCTAAAAGACTCAAGATGTTGAGCATTGCAAAGGGTATTTTTTAGAAAAAAAAAATTAATTTACATCTTACTAACTAATATGATTTAAACATGATAGAAAATAGAAACTATTTACAATAAAGTTAATTACAATTATAAGCTGAGAGAGCCAGGAACAGCTATTAATACAGAATATTTAATTAATAAGGAGAAACAATCAAAGTAAAATGGACTGCAGAGTAGCATATATAACACCATAGCTAAGACATCGGAAGAAGCTTTAGGCAATAACACAACTTGTTGAATTACTCATAAAAATAAGTCCTGCAGAAGAAGTTTAATCAATCAAGATCTTAATAATGTAGAAGGAACTCATTCTGGATCTCATATCATGTCACATCCAACCAAAAGAAGTTATATCCATCAAAAGAGTGATAATGTCAGTAATAGCTTGAATGTAAGATCTCCTGAGATATTTGGCCTTAGACAAATTTATAGCCAACAAACTTTTACACCAATAAGCACAATAAAATTTGTTAACAAAAACTGTTTTAGATGATCCACTACCGTTTACTTTGAAATTGAATAGCATACATTTTTCGATGAATTGCCCCAATTAACTCATGTAAGTGAACATCTAAGGGTTACTCTGAGCTAATTGGCTTATATTACAATAGTACATCATTACAAAAGCGTTCGTGCCTTAATTCATAGCTGACATTGAAGTCTCCACTATATATTTTTTTTTACTGTGACGCAAACTTTATTATATTATAAAATTTTATTTAATTATATACTGGCAATTTGTACCTTTTATTCCATTCTATAAATTTCACTGTAAATGTCAGAGAAATTGTCATTTTTGGTGTTCTAAGACACTGGTAGACAAAAGAAATAATGAGGGGAGGTAAAGGTCAGTGGATCACTAATTTTAACCAAATTTGTTTGGTGATTCTATATCAAAAATAATAGACTAAGGTATCCACCATATGTTTTGCCTAATTATGGCAAATGATGAAAATCTCTTTATACAGAGTGAAGTGCCGAAAATGCCTTTTTGTTTTTATATAATAACCTTCCTGAATTTTGTAGTTTGATTTGTTATTTCTAAATTTTGTTTAAATAATTTTTATTGTAATGTTAAAACTGTTTTTTTTTTTGTTAATGAAAATATTAATTTTAATTGAAATTAGAAACTTCCATAACTAATAATAAAAACATGTGAAATTAATATAAAGTTACAGATGCATGATGTTAATGGCTGTGAATAAAAAATGTTTTTCCCATTACTAATTTGTTAGTCAAGAGTGAATGTATATTTAACCACCTATAATACAAGGAAATATGCAATCCCAATCATAACTGATTGCTATCCACATGACACATCTAACAAGTTATCTGATTATAAGTTCCTTACTAATCATTATTCCATTCTTCTTTTGCAGCCAGTTTCACACTTTTGTATGCTGCACAAATCTGGCTGTTAAGGCTACCAGCATGCACTGAAAGAGTGCATCAATGATTCAGTCAAAAATTCTGAAATGCATCCTATGATGCCATATTTTTTCATTGCCAACTGCCTTGATCCACTAGCCGATAAGCGCTCATCTGGTTGCGCAACTAGATTCATCAAAGAAAATGAGAAAAACTGGATTCTTATTGGCTAAGCAAAATATAATAGAATGTATATTCTTGAAAGATGGCAAAGACATTGAGATCACCTCGAAAATGGAGCTAAACTCTTGATTCACAACACAGTGACATGGATGGCCAACACATATGGGGATGTTGATTATTACCTCACCCAACTGCTTACTGGGCATGTTTGCTTCAGTGCCTAATTAACCCAGTTCAAGCTAAGGCATGAAATTCTGTGTCCAACTTGTGCCCACATGAATGAAACAGTAATGCATGTGTTCTTCAGTTGCATGCATTTCATCTAAGAGAAGGAGCTAGACATCACCCTTGAGCATTAGTTAGTCTCAGAAAACCTAATCTCTCTGATAATGACTAATCGGTGGAGCTGGGATTCAGCTATGAAGTACAAACCGGGTGATCACAAGAGTTAGAAAGGCGACGGCCAATATCAATTTAATAATAAGTCTAGATTAGTAGAAACAGACCCATCCTAGCCCCCCACGAAGTAATGATTGACAGCAGTTCCACAGGGTGATAATGAAGAATAGGGAGGTGGTTTTTTAGATGGTAGGAATTTCACACTGTTGAGGACTTTAAGTCGCACATTATTTCATAAAATATTTTCTCCTACTTAAAAACTTTAAGAAATTATACATATTTTAAACATTTTTAAATGAAAACATAGGTAATAAAATTAAATTAAAAACTAATTTAAAAAAGAATAAATAGAGTTTTTAAATAAACTAATTCATTTATATTTGTTTCTATTTGTTGGAATGGATGATTAATAAATCAACTTCTTAACATAAAATTTTCTTTTTTTAAATCAAATTGAATCTATATATTCAATTTTCTTATATTCTGTATATTCTTTTCTAGTAAGAAACTTAAACATTATTCTAAATGGTTTCAATTAAAACAACAAAAACGAATAAAGCATATTGGATTTTATATAAAGCATGATGGACAGAGAAGAGATTTCTATGAAAACTGAAAAAAGAACAAAATGTAACACTTTGTGGAAACTATCTTCATCCTATTCAAAAGTGTGTTTATATTTTACACTTCAGAATGAATTCTCCTGAAAGTATACATAGTATATTACATTTTTGGAAAGCAAAGCAGCCTATTAGGATTCCAATACATACCGACCTTGTTTAAATCCATGTAGTTAGTGTGAACATAATTCATCAAATGACTTTTGGGTCCATAACCTTAAATAAGCACCTGACACTATCCAGAGGATAAAATAGGCAGTTGGATTAAAATACGAGAGTGGTCTGAAAAGTTTCTGACCTAACAAAAATACAAGGTATTTTTTTTTTTAATTTTTCAACATAGTCTCCTTGTAACTCTACACACTTCTCCCAGCGATGCTCTTATCATCTTTGTAACCTGTCCAAAAAGAACTCTGAGTTTTTCTCTACAAAATAATTGTTCATGAAGGTGATTGCCTCTTTATTTGATGAAAATCTCTGTTCTCCGAGTGCAATTTTCAGATAAGGGAACAAAAAGAAGTCGCTTGGGGCTAGATCTGGTGAGTAAGGCGGATGGTCAAGCAGTTCAAATCGTAATTCGGGGATTTTCGCCATGGCAACTGCTGAAGTGCGAGATGGTGCGTTGTCTTGGTGAAACAGAATTTTCTTTTTCTGCAAAAGTGGCCATATTTCCTCAAGTTCTACCTTCAGCTTGTCAAGTAATGATGCATAGTATGCTCCTGTAATGGATTTTCCTTTTTGAAGATAGTCGATAACTCCATGTAATAAAAATAACTCTATAAATAAAATAACTCCATGACTATCCAAAAAAACAGTCGTCATGACTTTCTCAACCGAGAAAACAGTTTTTGCTTATTTTGGAGCCGGTTCCCTCTTTGCAGTCCTCTGTTTGGACTGTAATTTTGTTTCGGGCATATAATGGTATATCCAAGTTTCATCTACAGTAATTAATCGGCGCCAAAACTCAGATTTATAGCGCCTAAACTGCACCAACAGAGTGCTGGAAAAGTTTATTTGAACACATTTTTAGTCTAACGTGAGTAAACGCGGCATCCAACGTGCAGACATCTTTCTCGTATCTAAATGTTGATTTAATATGTAACAAACACGTTCTTTTGACATTTTCATAACCTCTGCTATCTCTCTCGCTTTGATTCAGAGGTCATCTAGCACCATTTGGTGAACTTTGGCGATGTTTTCGTTGGTGGTTGCAGTTTTTGAATGTCCTGAACGTTCATTGTATCCCAAGCTCTTACGGCCACATTTAAATTCAGCTGCCCAAAATTTCACTATGGTAAATGATGGAGCAGAGTCCCCATACGCAGAATCCAACTCATCTTTGATTTGGATAGGCGTATTGCCTTTCAAAAAAAAAAATTTAATGACAGCTCGATACTCGATTTTGTCCATTTTCACAATAACACTCACATCAACTCAATCAAACAAATGTTACATAAAAACTGCACGTCCAAAATTGCTGAAACTTTGGTGGGTAACTGTCAACAGATGAACAACGAAATTCACTTGCTTTTATTTATGAGTGCTATCATCTTCACGCTGTGGTCAGAAAATTTTCAGACCACCCTCGTACTGAACCACATTACATTGCATCACATAAATATTGCTAGGTCAAGAATCAGGATCACCAACAGTAAGTATGATCATATTGATCATAACAGCACATACTACATCAAAATTAAAATTAATTAAATCAAAGTGCAAACAATTTTATCTTTTAAAATACATTGAAGTTAACTTATTACCTCAAATAACCTTTATTATCTTCATCTTCAGCTAAAGCTTTTATACTGGACATTAACAAATCATCATAGCCTATTAATTCTTTTAAGATGAAGCGAGATAAGGCATCACCAAAGCATTTATCAGTATCAGGATCAAGCGTAACAACCATAACTGGTATATTCAACTTCTGCCTTGTTGCAGCAGAAAGTCTTAACATGCCATACTCCAATGAATATTCTACAATATACTCTTCATCTGGAAGAACTGAAAACAGAAAAAAAAAACAATAAATAAAATAAAAAAACAGTAACAAAATTACTAATAGAGAAAATCAAAAGTCATTTGTGTTAACGAGATGAATTAGCAATGTCCGTCTAAATTAGACAATATTATGGAAGAAGTAACAAAATGTGGTTACCTGATCTATTTAAACCTCAGCATGCTTAAATATAGAAATAGAAATAGAAAAATCATCTTTATTCTGGGACTAGGTCCCTTTAGAATAACAGTATTGTTCATATATATTAACTACAAATCTGGTCAAAAGACTTATTACACTGAATAATGACAAAATACATGTAATACATTAAGTACTAATTAAGCTCTTAGGATAAATTAACGAGGACAGTTTGGTAATAGGGGTTCAGTACTACAATATTGGAGCTAAAATAATTGCATAATAATCACTGAATGAAATTATAAAGGAAAGTAAAATCTATTTTATAGGTAAAGCATTGTAGTGATGGAATATAAAAATTTAAAAAAATAATAAGAACTGTTAATATGTAGGGAAAGAAATTGTAAAAACTAAAAGAAAAAAAATATATAAAAAAACAAATAATGATATACATATGTTCCCTAAGATATTTAAGTGATTATGCGTAAAGATTAGGAGAAGAGAAAATAAAATAAAGTATATATATACACATAGCGAGAAGTATGTTGAAGATAATTAGAAATAAAATACATTTCACTGAAATACATTCCATGAATAACAAATTAGAACTTAGGGAAAACAAATTTTATCTACTCACAATGCTTAGTGAGTGGTGATGAAAATTCATGTTCAACACAGAATAAAACAATAAAAAAAATAATGTCTAAAGAAAAATTAGATCCTTATAACATAGTATGTATTTAACCAGCGTCTGATTGGATTGTGAAGAGGAATTGGAATAAGAGGGTTTTAAAGGTGGATAAGGATGAGGCATGGCGGATTTTTAGTGGGATGGAATTCCAGAATGCAGTGGAACGGACAACGAAGGAATGTTTAAATGATGCAGATCTGTGGAAAGGAGTGTAAAGGTCAGAAGGACGAGATCTTGTGGAGAGGGTGTGGATAGATGATTTGAATTGTAGGAGATTGTATGCGTAGGACGGACGATGACTATTGATTATTTGGTAAAGGAATGTGCCTAGGAAATATTGTCTTCGGAAGGAAGGGAAGAGCCATCCTAATTCAGCATAGTGGTGCGAAACACGGGAATACCTCAGGGCCCCTGTGACAAATCTTACGAAGGCATTCATAATTCTTTTCAGTCTCTCCCCGAGTTCTGCCGAGAGGCCACCGTACACCACGCAGCCGTAATCAAGGTGGGGGAAGATGAGGGAAGTTACTAGGAGTCTACGTGTGGAGATGGGTAGGAGATGGCGGAAGCGATGGAATAGTTTCAAGGTACCAATTGACTGTCGGGTAATGTGAGCAATATGGTGTTTCCAGGATAGGGTTTGGTCTATGAAAATGCCTAGGTTTTTCACTGAGGAGGTGAAGGTAATGGGATGGTCATTTAGGTACAGTATAGGTATGTTGGTATTGGCTCTGAGAAGGGGTTTGGAACCAATGACAATGGCTTGAGTTTTTGCAGCGTTTAACCTTAACCCATTTAAGTTTGCCCAGGCACTGATCCGATTCAAGTCTTCTTGAATTTTGGCAAACGCTTCATGCAACTCTGAGGGATGGAAGGAAAGGTAGATTTGGGAGTCATCGGCGTAAAGGTGATGGGAGCAGTGAAGGATTGAATTATGGATGTCATTGATATAAGAACTAAAAAGGAGGGGAGATATGCTAGAGCCCTGGGCCACTCCTGCGGACAAAGTAAGATAGGAAGACAAGGGTTGATTAGGAATAGCGACAGCTTGTGAGCGTTGGGAAAGGAATGATTGAAACCATAGGATAGAACTATGGGAAAAGGATAATGATTTTAATTTGGAAAAGAGAATGGAGTGGTTGAATGGAATCAAAGGCTTTGGAAAAGTCAATGAGTATAAGGACGGTTAGTTTTTTGTCATCAATGGCGGACTGAACATCATTAATGATTTTGATTAGGGCGGATTGTGTGGAATAACCTATATACTACTATATATAACCTAATAACTAATATACTACAAAACATACATTATAATTTTGCAAACTTATTTTAATCAAATTTCTTTGATCTGATTTACACCAGACATAAGGAGCCAATCCCAATCAGCTTTAAATTTTGAATTATTAATTATTTCATAATAATAATAATAAGGCTTAGCGAACCCGAAGGTTCGATGCCGATACCACCAATTGATGTACACATTCTTCCATCCACCGGGCTCCATCTAAACCCAACCCCGCCAAATCAGCCTTAACGCAATCTACCCACCTTCGCTTTGGTCTACCCCTCAGACGCTTGCCAGTCGGTACAGCGCATATTAACTTTTTAGGAATTCTTTCGTTACTGAGCCCAGCGATTTTACATGCCCATTTTATTCGCCTCAACTTAATCACCTCAATTATATTAACCGGATACCGTTCAGCGTTGTGTAACCGCCTAAATTCTCCGGTTGACTCGTTCTTTTTCGGTCTGAATATTCTGCCCAATACTTTATTTTCAAAAACTTTAAGTCATTGTTCATCCCTTAATGTATGCGGCCACATTTTGCATCCATTAAGAACAGTAGATAGGATAATTGTTTTGTAAATTCTAATTTTTAAGTTTCGGGACAGGAGGCGAGAACTAAATAATTTTGGCAAAGAAAAATAACAAGCATTTCCCGCCTTTAGTCTAACCTTAATCCTCTTCAATTTCGTTTTTTCTAGTTATCGTAGACCCTAGATACCTAAAATTCTGAACGTGTTCAAATACTATTAATAATTATTTCATAAAAATTAATTTTTAAAATATATTTTATTCAAATGCATTTCCTTTAAGTAGCTGTTAATATTATTAATATATACTTTCATGAGGGTAAATATTAAAATATTTTCCTAAATAAAAGTGCTATTGTATTAGAAATAAAAAGACAAAGTGGAAAATAAAGCCAGGATAATAATATGTCCAACCAAGGAAATAAATTAAAAGTGATTATAAACTTTAGAGACATCAGAAAACTAAAAAATGAGGTTTAAGAATACTGGAAAAGCATCCAGTTTAAAGAGTTATACGATACTATGAATTAGATAACATCAGCAAATCGATAAAGGTGACAAGAAAATAAAGCCTAAAAAGAATCATACCACAGGCATTGTAATATCTAATAGGTGTTGAAGACTTAAGATTTTTACCTCTGTCAACAACAACAAACTTTGTTTCAGGTGAAATTTTAACTGAAAATATGATGTTCCATAAATTGAGAAAATTTATGCAATGATATCATGTCAAAAAGTATGCAATAAATCATGAGCCAAGGAGTTTAAACAATACACAAATTCATTGCATAAATTAAAAAAAAAAAATAACAGCAAAAATTCATTTGTATCAAAATAAAATCCATAGGATTTGCAGATAAATAGCAACATATTGAAGCTGTAATTGTAATAAGTAGTAACAACAGTAACTATATTAATTATTTTTATGTAACTAGGAGTGGTCTTGTAAATGAGTTGTAGGAATTCAAACTCCAAGGACAGGATTCAAACCCCAACTATGATTGTAATTTATTTACTATTTTAACGGCTATGGCTCAATAATGGAATCAACTCCAAATAGCTATTGTTTATACATTGAAGTAGTTGTTGTCCATGACATGAAATTTATGATACACATAATTTATTTATTTTGAATAATAAATTATTGAATATATATACCAGCTTTCATTAGGCGATCCATTTCTGAAACATTATCTTTTAATGTTATTTCAGATTCCGAATAACTGTGTTCAGTTGGTTCTGACAAAGTACTGTTAGGATTAAACTGAAACATCAGAAATTATCTTATATTAATCATAAAATTATAGTGATATCAAAATTATATAACAATAGTAAACATTTGGGAAAAATGATATATAAAAAAAATATGTTCATACTGGTTTCTAATATTAAACAGAAAAGAATATTTCTATTCAATTTTTTTTTTCTCTTATTTGCAGTGTCACTAAGTTCTTATTTTTCATAAATTAAGGCAATTTGTACATCAATGTTTATGGCTTATTACAATATGGTTATTTTATGAAACGTTTTGGCCAGCACTTGGGTCATTTTCAAGTTTGAAAAAATGCTTTTGATATAATACAATTTAAAATTTTGTACAGTTAAAAACATTAACTTTATAAATGTAAATTCACTGGCAAATTTTATTATTTACTATTCAATAAAAATAATATATATATATATATATATATATATATATATATATATATATATATATATATATATATAGATAGATAGATAGATAGATAGATAGATATATGTCTGTGTGTGTGGGTGTGTGTAAATTATAAAACCAATGTTTAAAATTGTATATTGAAAATATTTTTCACACTTGAAAATGGCCCAAGTGCTGGCCAAAATACTACCTCATAAAATAATCATATTGTAATAATCAATAAACATTGGTGTACAAATGGCTTTAATTTATAAATAAATATGAAAAGATTATTATTTAAGAGTGATCTTCATAAACCTGCATTGTATTTGGGGATTATCTGGTAAAAAAGTAAGAGAGAACTCAAAAGTGACAATGTTATGAATAAAATTAAACAAAATCACCAAAAGACAAAGCAAAAATATTAAATCAAATAATACAATACTGAATGAAATCAGTTTTAGTACATCCCCACATGAATCAGAAATAAACCACAATTATTTGGTCACCAAGCTAACATAAGATTTATTCAATTTTTCCTTAAACCTAAAGGTCCAAAATGTCAATATGATGATGAAAGAGAACCAATGGATCTCAACCTCTCTTCTGTTTTTCTTATCTTAAGAATCAAAACTGGTATTTTTACCTAAAAGGAAGTCTCAAACCCAGTTTACAGTAAAAAGTATAAAAATGTTTTTTAAAAAAATGAGATTTTTTTTTTTTTTGTTTATTGATAAATATTACAATCTGTCTCAATAAAGGACATTTATAATAGAGTTCTGAGAGCACATTAAAAAAAAAAAAAAAAAAAATCATATGCTTTTGTTAATGTCCAATATTCTGAGCCTATATCTTACATCATCTGCAAAAGCCATAATTATTGCATATTTGTTGATTATTGTCACTTCTATCTGAATTTTTTTTTACTGCATATTCAATGGCAACATCAAGTATAACTAGTGTTGCCCAAAATTGGTCTCGGCCTTACAGTCTTGGTCTTGGATTTTGCACTTTTGCAGATATAAATAAATTTTTTAATTTATAAAAAATTCATAAAAATTCCTAACTGGATTTTTTTGGACATAATTCTATAACTCCGTTATCTTTCATCAGATTTACTTGTTTCTTAGTTTTATAGCAACACTACTATATATACCCTATTCTGTGAGCAATGAATATATTATCAGAAATAATATATGAAAATAAATGACATGACATATCATGTTATAATATTAAAATTTTTTTCGAGCAATAAAAATTCTTGTTTTATTCAGCTACTAAATACGTTACATATATGTGTGTGTATATATATATATATATATATATATATATATATATATATATATATATATATATATATATATATCAAATAAGATATTATACTTTATGTTTTTTTTTATCTTGATAAGTTTAAAATTTGATTCATTCTACTTTTAAACTAGTTTCTCAAAAACTGGTAGATTTTTTATTACAAATTTCAGACAATGCCAATATTATTAGACTTTCTGCTAGCAAAATAATATTTTCATTTTTTTTAATACTTGTACATGAAACAGGATTCAGAACTTTAACATAAAATTTAGTATCAAATTATTTTATTTTACCTATTTTTTAAACGCTTTTGTGGATATGTATCGGTTAATTCTTGTCCATGAATTGTTCTTCATTTTCATTATAGTTCTGCATTCTTATAATTGATAATTTTTTAACTGTACATCCTACCGATTTTTTATCTTTCCTTTTTCTTTAATTTGATATATAGCATATGACACAGAACTACAGTAACGTTTATTCTTAATCTGGTCATGATAGTTATTATCAGGAGTGCCCATTTCCCCAAGGCCGATGGCGCATGCGCCTCCCCCCCCCCCCCCAAAAAAAAGATTGCCCCTCTCACTTATATAATTAATATGTATCTATATGAGATCTAATATCAATGTTAGTTTAAAAGATAGTAGATATAATATTGGTTTGTTTCTCCAGAGTATTAAAGACACAACACATGAGGCAATTACAATCAACAAGAAACATCAGTAATATTTAGAGGAGGCAAGGCTCCCCCCTACCCTCCTGTGCATATGCCCATGCCAGTAATTCATTATTATTTTGTTTTAAAATATTTCCTTTTAAATGAGAATTTCATCTGAAATAATTGCGAGAGCGTTGCCAAAAGGGAGTACATTATTTTAAAATAGGGGGCAATCAATTTGAAGATGGAGAAATTACTTTTTATTTCCTAATTAGTTAATTTTAGAATGTTGAAACGACCTGTCACTGATGATAACATGTCATAAGTTATTGTTTTGTTGCTACATTACTTTAAATTTGTTTCTGTGTCTTATAACTAAAGATAAGGCATTAGTTGTATTTATTATAAATACACAATACAATACAATGAAGGAACCGCATACCGATATTTCAAACAAGTGGCGCCCTTTGAGTTAATGCTGAAACTGGATATATGGAAGACAATGCCCTACTTGTGTTGAGCACTTAGGATAAAATCATTTCTGCCGCTTTTCCAAATATGTGGTGTCCTTAGATATTTTTTATATACACGCTAACCTCAGTGTGCCTTTTTTTTCTCTTTGTTTTATGGTTTAAATGTTCCCTTAAAATTGAAAACTTAATTTGTCCCAAAAAAATCTGATGGCGCAACTTGCGGCATATAATCCCTCTGTGGGCACCTCTGGCCTCAAGTTAATGGTGGCAACTATTGTTAGTTGATTATTGATCTAAACATCTCAATAAATGTTTTGAACAATTTACCAAGAATGGACGGAATCGAAAAATTTACAGTAGAATTATTATGTGCATGGGAATGCACAGAATTCCCATGGAACTTCCAAAATTACCTTCAATGTGAAATGGTTTCCGATGAGCAAACTAAATGTGTTTTTTTGCTCAATCGACGCGTATGTCTGTCCTCTAAAAAGTGGAAAATTATTTTAGTGAACATCAATAAAATTTTTATAACAATTCAGTGAAACCTGAAATTATTGGTTAGCCATATTCAGCCTCTATTGTACATATTTTTCAATACTTTAATTTAATTCAACAACGTGCAATTGAACAACAAGAAAATCTGACCCTGGATTGCTTAGACCTGATAGGGTATTGGTAGTTTTAATCCAGAGAAGAAGGGTCATGTCCATTTGGTACCACTGTGTGCAGTCCTTTATGGAGAAAGTTTTCAATCAAAATCTAAATAGAAAACTAAATAATGTGAAGGACGCACGGCACTCGTTCATAATCTCTAAGTATCCAAAATAATATTTTTGTGTATTTAGTGAATCCCCGAGAAAATTCATGAAAAAAGGTATATAGAACAGAAAATTGTTTTGGGGAGCTAACTCACCAGGTATACATCCTATCAGTTTTCAAGAGATCTAAACGTTTCTGAGTCTGTTTTAGGGCTATTTTTTGAAAGGTCATTAAATTTCTGACAAAATTGTCAAAAATCATCTGAATCGGACCAGTTTTAGCGAAGTTGCAGTATATTGTTGTTTATAAGCTGATTTTAATGGTGGTTCATTTGCCCGTTTACATTGATTGGTTCATCCAAGAGATCGTACCCTAATGGTTTCACTGATTAGCTTTTAGGAAAATGAATCTAATTCAATTGTTTGTTTTTTTCTAATGGACACATTTAAAGTTTGTTGACACAAGACCAAGACTGCCTCGATCTCGTATTGGTCTTGCGTTTAGGCAACAATAGTACCGACCAATAAACATAGCCATCTGGTCAGACCAAATTGTTATTATTGTTTAAATAAACTCTAAACACTAAAATTTTTTATTTCAATAAATGCTAACATTGTATTTAATGTCTTTATACCATAACCCTTACATTCCATCTAAGGTGAGGATCTATCACTATCTATCTTGATAATATCATTAAATTATGTATATTCATGTAAATTTGGTTGAACTTAGCTATATCTAGGTCAAAAGATAGGCTCCAATGTATCTATTCTTTAGTGTTTAACAAATAGCAATAGGCTAATAGGTAATTGCAAGACTTGCGAGACTCTTGCTGCAAGACCAATACTAAGACCACGGCTGAGTGTGCAAGACCAAGACCAAGACTAAGACCAGGTGTGAACACTGCAAGACCAAGACCAAGACTAGCCAAGTCTTGCATTTGGGCAACACTAAATATAACCATGAAAAACCTTGTCCTATTGCCCTGCCTGCTAAGAACATAGTGGTTTTATATTAAATTGATGTGGGTAAATCTTACCAGTAAATATAGATGACAGACTCATGTTTGAAAAAAAATTAAGAATGGTGATTATTTAATTGCTCTGGGTGCACAATGTGGGAAAACCTGTCACTCAGAAAAGTTAAAATCTAACTAGTTTTCCAATTTTAAGGATAACCACAACTGAGATTGAAATAAAATCTATTAATATATATATTAACTGTCATATAAAGAATATAAATAAAATTCTGAAGGGTAAAATCCCTAGCATGATGACATCGGGCTTTGAAGAACATGTAAGATAACTTGCAACTTAATAAAATCATGTAACTAAAAGATGTTCTTAAGGTACTATTTCACTGGTACTGCCCATCACACCAAATAGCAGTGACCGCAGTTGAGTGTT